AAAAAAATGTACGTGTCTCTTGAAATGTCGAAGAATATTTATGGTAGAGCGGCGAAAAGTTTCATCAATGTTTTACGTTACAAAAATATTGGCAAAAATCATGCTTATTGCATGATTGGTTTATTTAAGCCCCCCCCCCCTCCCCCTTCCCAACGTCAGCTTTACGAAACTGCTCGAAACGACGGCTCGCTAATTTCTTAATCTACGATTATTCTGATATATGTGTTATTTTCGGCAAATATTACGCTCGTTAAAAATCAGAACATAATGCCTTGTCGTTATTTTTATAAACTTAATATAAAACATCTGCTCTTCGGTGCACCGTAAATCTAGCGTTAGGACGTCTGGCCAATTACAATTGTCCAGAAACGAACGATTCTGTCGGAATTGATCGTCCCTCGAATTTCGCGGAGCGCATAGCTGCAGCATTGCACACTGTCTAGGCCGCAGGGAGGGGTAAAGCCGAAGAGTCTAGCGAACGGGCATTCGTCGCGCAGGGATTAAAAGCTGGATGACCTACTCGGGGTTGCGGATGGAGGAAAAGGGGGACCAAGTCGAGGCCGGAGGGGGGTATTAAGCTCGAACGGAACTTACTGTTTAGCGTACGCGATGGATTTCGCTAAGCCGTTCCCGGATCCGCACGGTATCACGCCAAGGGGCAGCTCCCTGAGGGCCCTCTCCCAGTCGGGCCTCTGGAAAAGTCCATTCACCACCTCGAACACTATGCCGTCGCCGCCGACCATCAGCAGCCCGCTCCATTGATAAATGTCTCTGGTTCGCACGAACTCGCGGGCGTAATTCGAGCATTTCGTGATGTGCATCTCGTAAGGCCTCTCCGCTTCCGAAAGGATCGGATGGATCCTCTTCTGGAAGGTCTCCCGGCCCTTTCCCGGCCCCGACTTAGGGTTCAGGAGAACGAGCAGCTTCCTCTGTTCGCCCGGACACGCTGCAACAATTTTACGAAAAAACGATCCCATCAGAAATTACGAATCGCTCGATCGTAGTACGTATTAGGTCTACCGGAAAGTTCTGTCTGATAATGTCGTTGCAAATTTCAATAGATAATGCACATATTCATTCGAGACACATATTTTTGAAAAATGTTGCTCACAAATTGCCATCACGCTGGCAAGAGGTCACAAGTAACGACGGAAATTATATTGTACAATATTACTAAATTTATGAAAAATCTGTTATTTCCTTTCATTTCTCAAACGGACAGAACTATCCGGTAGACCTAATAATTAAATGCCGATCTCGTTCATTCGAATTCTCATTTTCGTAAGGCGAAAGAAGTTTCT